AATATATATATACATATATAAATATGAGGAGAAGAAGGGGAGAGCATGTTTTCAGGTAAGACAGACCTTTCCTTTTGAATAAAATMCGAAGCTTTCCGCTTAATTTGTGGTGCTCCTCTTTCCCAGCGCCCTGGGTCGGAGCGCGGTGCGCCGAGGCAGCGGGGAGGGGTTGAGTGGGGGGCTCTGCCTCTCCCTCTGCCCCCCGCAAAATCGCTCCTCGGGGGTGCGGGCCTAGAGCGCGGAGGGGCTGCGCGGCGGGGCGCGGGCCGGCCTCGCTCCGGGGATATTTCGGTGGCTTCTTGGGCTCCGTGCGCGCCTGACCTGCCAGAGCGGGGTGCACCCCGGGGACCCTGGGCCGGGGGCGGCAGGTCCCGCCGCGGAGGGCAGGGCCGGAGCGCGTATTTTGGTCCGTCTCGGCGCGGCCCTCACCGGGCCCTTGGGCCGGTTTCAAGCTAGAGGTTTTTTTTATATATATATACGGCCTTAGGGCAGCTCCGGAGGCGGACAGCGGCGGGGGAGAGGATTCGGGACCCCCTCCAGCCTCGGTGGAAATCTAAGCGAGCGATCGCGGGCGGCAGTGGGGTCCACAATTCCTCGCAATTTTCACCCGTGCCGCCAGCCCGTGTCGCGGTCGCCGCTCGCAGACAAAGCCGGGGGCTGGCGGGACCCCGCAGCCCCGCAGCGCCGGGCATCGCCTGCCCTCCACCCAGGACACGGCCCAGCCACGAACCCACGTGGAGCGGCGGGAGCCGGCCGGGGAGGCCGCCCCGATGGACGGGGAGCCGGAGGGGAGCCCGGGGGCTGGAACCGGCCCTAACTTTGCCTCTTCCCCTGGCCTGGCACGGCGTGGGCGCCCAGACCGCTAGGTACCAAACAAGCACAAAAGAAGCAAATGGCTTCTCTCCTTAAAGCGCCCTCTTCCCATTTTTTATAGCTCTCTGGGAGTCTCTTTATGCAGTGACCTATTTTTAAAGGCCTATATTGGGTTATTCATCATATCAAATACTGCGAAGAGCTGGGGCG